TAAGCTTTGAAGCAGCATTAATAAATGTAACATCATAATAGTAGGAGTATCAGCATGGCGCAGTGAGTGGAAAACTGGCCTTGGCGTCAGGAAACCAACAATGAGCAAGCCTTTATTAAGGACTTACTATGTTCTAGGCACTATGCTAAGTGCTGGGGATGCAAAGGTGAAAAACAAAATGGTCTTTGCAGGAAGACCTGGGTTCGAGACTCACCTCTGACAAGTTGGGACCCTGGGGATGTCGCAACATCTTAGCATCCCAGGCAGCTCTATAAAGCCATGAGTTGCAGAGAAGGTGGCAACTTTGTATCATAAGACAAATTACCTCACTGGGGGCTCCTTATGCCTACAATATCACAGATAAATCAAAGATAATAACTTTTATATTATGATATTATAATATATAATATTATATTATATTATGACATAAACATTTATTATTATAGTGAGGCAGTGTGCTATGGAAAAAGAGAACTGGACTGGGGGGACAAGAGACCTGGGTATGAGTCCTTGAACTGCCTTTTTAAATTGATTGTTAATTTACGAAATTTTGAAATGGGGCAGGAACTCTCAGTTCTTTGGGTTCTCTCCAGCAAAGACCATGATGGCAGTGGGAAATGAGGCTTCAATCATATTTTAATAAGGCACAGAGGTGGGGGCAAACAGTCCAGAATGCAGAGGCAAGTGGTAGGAAGGGGTATAGGGACAGAGGGCTTGGAAACAGGGGATGGGAGAGTGAAGAAAGGCACGGAATGATAGGGAAGAGAAGGAGAGGGGGAGACACAAACGATCACTCAAATAACCATGAATTAAAGTTGGAAGTACCAAACAGCGGGACCTGATAGAGATGGAAAAGGTCTTGGGGGGGGTGGAGATGGGCAAGAGTTTGTGATCTCATTTTTATAGGATTTTTTGTGGGGGGGAAGGGAACAGACCAACTTCTATGGGGATGACCTTGGGATTAGCTAATTAATATATCCAAATCATCTCAAAGTTGTCAGTAAAACTTTAAAGTTAACACGTCCACATCATCTCAAAATTATCAGCACCATTTGGTGATCTACTGGTCTTTACTCTGAAGGTCTGGAACTTGTCTGAAATTTACATATCATGGGATCGCAAGGCCCTGACAGCAAAGCCTAGATGACTTTCCTTGATTCAGCACATATTACCAGGATGTGAATTTTGGATAACATACGACTTGGTCCGTCTTTATGAGTCATGTTGGACTCTTTGTGACCCTGCTTTGGGGGTTTTCTTGGTAGAGATAGAGTGGTTTGCCATTTCCTTCTTCAGCTCATCTTACAGATGAAGAAACTGAGGCAAATTGGGTTAAGTGACTTGCCCAGAGTCATACAGCTATTATGTGTCTGAGGTCAGATTTGAACTCAGGTCCTCCTGACTCCAGGGCTGGCTCTCTATCCACTGTGCCACCCAGCCACTCTATATAACTATATTAGAATATAATTGGCTCTCTTTTAACTATGTCAAATGAGATAATAGTTGTAAAGTGGTTAGCACAGTACCATTCCCATAAGAGGTACTTAATATGAGCGTATTCTCTTCCCTTTTACATTGTTTTGCATCTTTTGTTCTCCTAACTCCACTTCTGTTATCTACTCATACACATCTCACTTTTGTCTGAATTCTTTGTATTCATTGTTTCTTATGACATGATAATGTTTCCTTATGTTTGTGTGCCATAATTGGCACTGCTTTTCCTCACTTGATGGGCACCCACCTTCCGTGCAGTCTCCCTGTTTCTTCATAGCCAGGCTATGGAAGACCATGGGCATCTTGCTCCCTTATCTCTGCCCTCCTCATGAACCTGGCCTCTCCTCTGGGGCTGGTTTTACTCTGTGACACTGCCTGGACCAGTCCATTTGGATTGGAAAGGTCTGCAGCCCAGCTGGATTCAAGCAACAATATCAGGGCAGAAACAAATGTAGAGAAATCAACACCAGGATCCTGTTTCCCTTTAAATGCCATTTCTTAATGTAAACAGAACAGATATGAAACACGTTCTTCAAATATGACCTCACACGCAAACCCTCCAGAATATATTTAATTTGAGAACCAAGGCAGGAGGGCAGGATTTGCGTGTCCCAATGTGCTGCAGAGTTATGCCTCAGTCACTCCCTTGGGACAGATTTACACCATGGCAGCACATGGAGACAGCCTGGAGAGAGCTCAGCACAATGTCCAACATGGAAGCCTCTAGAGACTGCTCAGTGTCTCAGCTAATCCAGAGGCAGGCCTGGATTTCTACCCAGACACCTCACCAACCCTGGAAATCCAATTTCTATGCTCCTTTTTCTATAGGAATCATGCCTGCCAGCTTGCTGATTTTAGTTCTCTCTTTTGGACCAACACTTTCCACTCTGATCTGTTCAGAGTGGAATCCCCAGACCCCCCAGGTCCCACCCTCCAGCAACACTCATAGTCTACCTTTCCTTTCTAGCCAACACTGTCAGACTGTCAACAAGCCTTTATTAAGGGCTCACCATGTGCCAGGCTAAGCGTTGGTATACAAAGATAGGCAAGAACAATCCGTATCCTTAAGGAGTTCTTATTCTTTAGAATATCTCTGCTAGTGGAAGAGACAATATGTAAATAACTAGGTACGTAAAAGATGTATAGATATAGATGTGAATATAGATACACAAAGACATGCATAGATATATCCACAAATACATATATACACACATCTATGTATATATGTATCTGTGTGCAGGTACAGGTGTACACATATAAATACAAACACATATATACAGGATACGCATGTGTATGTATGTATCTATACATATACATGCCACATATATAATACATGCATACACACATACACACACAGTATTAATAGGAGGCAATCTCGGAGAGAAGACATTAACATCTGGAAAAAGTGGTCAAAGACTCCTCCAGAAGGTAGGATTTGAGCTAAATCTCAAAGTAAGTCAGGGAAGCTGAGAGGTGGAGGTAAGGAGGAAGAGTGCAATTGAGGCCTGTGGAGAACCTATTCCCCATGGCAAGGACACAGGAGACAGAGTGTCATGTGTGAGGGACAACAGCTAGCTGGATTGTAGACATATGATTCTCTTTGTTTGAGAAATACTGCCTTGGCTCACGGCAATCTGCCCCCTCACAAATTCAGGCTCCTTCTTGGGTCCCCTGCATGTCTCAAGACATGTCTCTGGTCTCTCTCACTCTACCAATACTGGTCATCACTCAGTCACCTTCTTCTCTAGTATAGCTGATGGATCTGTCCTTTAGGCTCATTCTTTCTATCCCTGGTAACTGCTGCTGATACCAAAGGTTTCTTTCAGTTTTTTTTTTCCTCCTCTATTTCTCTCCCCCATGTTGTCTCATTCCGACTTCACTCACTGCCTATATATAATCACTCACACTTATCGTGTGCAACTCTTCCAAGTACTGGGGATATTAAAACAATAAATGAAATAGTGAATCATTTTTAAAGGCTGATAATGGCTTAACTGTTTTCTTTCTCTCCCTAACCCCCAACTTTGTATTTTTATAGAACTTTTCTTTGTCTTAACTCAAAAGAGAAGTAAGATGGTGATTTCAGCGAAGTGGGGTGTGTTTCTAACCTGGTTTAACAGGCATACATCAGAGCCAAAGGCAGGTGACCAGAACAGTAAGGGGATTGGGCATTGTGCTATAGAAGGACTGGTTGAAAGAAGTAGGGATATTCCATGGCGGGGGAAGAGAAACCTAGAAGGTACATTATCTATGTATCCATGTATTTGAAGGACTACCATATAAGTGAAGTATTGGATTCATGGGATTTTTGGAAATTGGAAGGAATCCTAGAGATTATTTTGTTCAGCCTCTTCATTTTATTTGGATATTGACCAGTCAATCAATGAGCACTTATTAAGGGCTTGAGCACTTTGCTAAGCACTAGAAATTTAAAAAAAAAAAAGCAGTCCCTGCCCTCAAGGACCTTAAATTCTAATGAGAGAGATAACATGTACATAAAGTGGTACATACCAGATAAACACAGAGTAGATGGGAGATAGCTTTGGAGGAGAAAGAACATGAGGAGGATGGAGCTTAAGTGACTTGCTAAGTGTCACACAACTAGGAGTAAACGACAGTGACTTGGGATTTGTATTCAGGTCTTTGGTCTCCAAATCTTTCTGCTCAGCCATGCTGCCTCCCTCTGCTTGGCCCTGGGAGACAGAACAAGCCCCGTTGGGTGGAAGTGACTGCAAAGCAGACTTCAGCTCATCATAGGACCACAGACTGAGAACTAGACAGGCCTCAGAGATCCTCTAATCCAGGCCCTTTATTCTACAGATGAAGAAACTGAGGCCCTGTGAGGTTAAGAGACTTTCCCAAAGTCACACAGGGAGTGGGCAGCAGAGCTGGGATAGAAAGAGAGCTTGAAATAAAGAAAAAAGCTTCCGGGGCAGCTAGGTAGCACAGTGGGTAGAGCACCGGCGCTGAAGTCAGGAGGACTTGAATTCAAATCCAGTCTCAGACCAGACACTTGACACTAACTAGCTGTGTGACCCTGGGCAAGTTACTTAACTCCAATTGCCTAAAAAAAAAGAAAAGAGAGAGAGCGAGAAGAAAAAAGCTTCGTAATACCTAGAATGAGCCAAAAGTCCGATGGGAATAGGAGGGAGTGAGTTACTCATTAGCAGAAGTTTTTTGTTGCTGTTGTTGTTGATTGTGTTGGTTTTGCAGAAGATAGATAGCCCTTTATTGGGAATGTTGTAGAGGCAGTTGTTCAAGCACAGGCTTGACCAGATGGCCTTTGAGGTCTCTTTCCACCAGGTCAGGCTAAAAAGAGTGTAGAATTCTATTACTCTCTATGATTGTGAGCCTGAGGAGTCCCGCTATCACAATGGCCCTGGAGGCAAGGCTAACCCACATGGGCTAAGCTGGCTGGGATCCACTTCAGGGTATGTGAGAAGAAATATTTCTCTAGGGATCTGGGTAACATACAATGGCACATTTTCAAAGGAATGCTCTTCTAGTTTCAGAGACGGAGAACCTCCATGAAGCCTTGTCCATCAGCCAGGAGTCAGAGCTGTCCAATAGCCTGCCTGGGGATGACCGAGATGAGTGCCTTCTGTACCCTGGTGAGCTCTGTCAGCACCTGTGTATCAACACCGTGGGCTCCTATAAGTGTGCCTGCTTTCCCAGATTCACCCTGCAAGAAGATGGGCTCAGTTGCCTTCCAGGTAAGAGGAGTCAGACAGCTGGCACCTTGGCAAGGAAGGGAGGGGTATTTGTGGTTTTGATTTTGAATCGAAGGCCTTCTTGTAGCTCCTGAAATAATAACAGAAGGTGGTCACCTATTTAATTTATGTAGAAGCCTAGCCTTGAGGGATGTGAAAGTGATTGACACATTTTTTTTTTCTCTCTGGGGCATTTGGCTTGAGCTTATGTCCCTCCCATAGGCAGTGCAAAGCACCCAGAGAAGGATCTCCAAGAAGCAAACACTTTTGAGAAGCTAGAGGCTATATAAGATAGCTCTGGGTACTCATGCTAATACCTTTAAGTCAATTTTAAGACATCAATAAATTTGTCCCTGAAAAGCCCAGATACAAAAGGCAGATAGTCTGCCTTCCACAGACTTGTATGAATAATGTGTCCCCACAGGTCTGGTTCATTGGCCCAGTATTGACGGAGGTGCCATTTCTTTTAACCTCCCCTACGGTGCCCTCCTGTGCCCTTATGGTACTATACCCCCATGAGAGGCAGCTAGAGAGGACTTGGAGTCAGGAAAACCTAAGTCCCAATCTCACCTCACTTACTAGCTATGAGACCCTGGACAAGTCCCTTACCTCAGCTTCCTCATTTGCAAAATGAGGAAGCTGGACTCAATGACCAGCTGCAAATCTATGCTTTTGTAACTCTGTTACTTACTGGCCCTACACAGGTCTATACTCCCTGGGAAGAGACCAGTGGCCTAGAAGTTTCTTTCCACACTTTTGCACCACTAAAAACAGAGCCAGCACACTCAGAAAGATCTAGAAAACCAGTTCACACTAATGTGTTAATAGCTGACAACGTCTCTTGCTAGGGCTATTTGCATTTGCTACACTGCTTTACCCAAAAGAGTAAATTTATGTCAATGGATATGAGAGGAATTTCAGCAATGAATGAGCAGTGATGAGCTAGTGAAGGAGATATTTTAGGGGGGAAATGTGTTTCTGACATCTCCCTATGTAGGTTGCTGCCTACTCTATATATGCATGAGGTCATCCCTGATAATCTAGAAGGAAGGAGAGCAAATAATGTCCATGTCAATCCTCTGAGTCTTTCATTCAGGGCCCCGGCATGTTTGGCTTCTGAGGGGCAGCTGGAGAGAGGGCCACAGGCCAGCCCTGCCAAGAACCCGTGGCCCGGTCAGATCTAGGAGCATCCAAGCCCTGGGGGACCATCTCAGTCAGTTCAGCCTTCAACACTGCTGCCAGGATTCTGGATCTGGCTCCACTTCCCCAGAATCTCTCTCTACTTCCAGCTAATTTCTGACCTGTGTCAATGAGTGATAACCCCCATAAGCCTTGGTGCAATTGCTCCAGGGGGAGGAAGCCTGATTTCCCCCCATTTGTTCAACCATCCTTGGTCATCATGGAGTGACAATTTTTCAGACAGAGCCCTGTTGGAACAGAATTGTGGCAAAGGAGAACCATGGATTGGAAGGCCAAAAATGCAGGTTTGAGCCCTTGCTCAAACACACTGTAAATATGTCTAGAGTGTAACAGCCACGAAACTCTTGTTAAATACTTAGGATGACTTTGTTATTGTTTCAGTAAAGTTATTATGCACATTTACTGGGGATGGATAAAGATCTGACCGATGATTTCATGGGTTTCAGATATTCCCAGGTAAAGAAATTCCCTCTGCTAATGCAGGTTGTCACTTTCTTTGCAATTTGTAGTCTTAACCTGAGGACCATGAAAATTTTTTCAATATATTTTGATAACTGTATCTCAATATAATTTGTTTCCTTAGTAAGCCTATGTATTTTATTTTATGAATTAAAAAAAAAATCTTTCTGAGAAAGGTCCATAGGCTGCACCAGACTTCAAAGGGGGTCATGATTCAAAAAAAATTAAGAATTCATGTCTTATAGAGTGGCCTAAAGCACTGAGGGGTTAAGTGACTTATCCAGGGTCACACAACTAGTTTGTGTCAGAGGCAGGACTTGAACCCAGGACTTTCTGGCTACAAGACAGCTAGGTGACGCCATAGTGCACAGAGCGCTGGGCCTGGAGTATGGAAGCTCTGGATTCAAATGTGGCCTCAAAGACTTATTAGTAGTATGACCCTGAGCTAGTCACTTAACCTTTGTTTGTTTTAATTACCTCAGCTGTAAAATTGGGATAATAATAGCACGTACCTCCCAAGGTTATTGTGAAGATCAAAAGAGATAATATTTGTAAATTGCTTAGCATGGCACCTGGCACATTTTTTGGTCTTGTTGTTCAGTTGTATCCTACTCTTTATGACCCTATTTGGGGTTTTCTTGGCAAAGATGCAAGAGTAGTTTGCCATTTCCTTCTCCTGTTCATTTTACAGATGAGGAAAGTGAGGCAAACAGGGTTGGGTGACTTGCCCAGGATCATATACTAGTAAGTGTCTAAGGCCGGATTTGAACTCAGGTCTTCCTGACTTCAGGTCGGGTGTTCTATCCACTGTGCCACCTACCTGCTCCTTAACACATAGTAGATTTTTAATATATGCTCCGTTTTTTTTTCTTCATTCAAGGCCAGCTCTATGTCTCTGACACCATGCACTACCTTTTTCTTCTAATAGTTGGTAAATAATAAATGCATAGGCATATATAAATATATCATTTATTAAAAAAAACTTTTTGTTTTCCTTGGGGTTTTTTTTTGTATTTTTGTTTTCTTTGTTCTTGTTCAACTATTCGAATATTTGTTTTTGTTAGTGAGAGATAAGATAAAATGTATTATTTATATAGAAGTAGCACAGGGTAGTGGAAAGAGGGCTAGACTTACACTCAGGAACACTTAGGTTCAAATAGAACCTCTGACGCTTTCTGATTGTATGACCTTGGCCAAGTAACTTAACTCCCAGAGGGATTTCAGTTTCCTTATCTGTTAAATGAGGCAGTTTCAGATTAGATGTCCCCATGGTGTGATAGAAAGAATTTTGTACTTGAACTCAAGACACCAGGGTTCCAAATCTTGGATCTTCTATTTACTGCCTTGAGCAAGCGGGGCTTCAGTTTCTTTCTTCCAAATATCTACATCTATATCCACACCCTACTCTGATGCTAGTTACCTATATGACCTTGGGCAACTCCCTTAAATTTCCTGGGCCTCAGTTTCTTTATCTTTAAAATGAAGAGATTGGACCAATTAGTCTCTAATGTCCAACTCTAGATGTAGGATGTCATGAAATATATAAAAGATCTGTGATGACATCATTGTGGGCTTAGCTTTAGGGATACCAGGTATCCCTTCCACCAGTAGACCTTAAGCAGTCTGTGACTTAGGTAGGTAAGTCCTAGGGAGTTGCCTGAGACACACAGATATTGAGTGATCTGCCCAGAATCAGACTGTTGTTCATCCTTCATTTTCTAAGAGGACCAATGACATCACAAGGTGATGTCTTGACTTCCAGGTGAATTGGATTTAAATTAGGCAGAGCTGCAGAAAGTCATCAGCCTCACTCTCTCTTCCTGAGTCATTGAAGTCCAATGGTGGGATAAAAGTCAAGACAACTGGAGTGAATAGTTGTCAGAAGCAGGATTTGAACTTATGTCATCCTGGCACCAGGTCTAGCATTGTATTTGCTACTGCAGGTTTCATAAGTATTTTTAATTCCCATTGACAAACGCAGGTATTCAAATATTTAAACAAAAGCAAAAGAGAAAAATAGCCCCAAATGAAAACAAATGAAGCAAGAATATTGCAAATGAGTGTGCACATAATTGTACCTTTTGGTTGTTTACTGGTTGTTAAAAGAAACAAAAGATGCACATAAAAACTTTAGGTAGTAATGCAGTTTTCTCCTGTATTTAACATGAATTTTGTTGCTGTTACTTTGCTGTAACTTAACATAATTATACTTAGCATGTTTATTGTTCTCTTGGTTATGTTTTGCTCATTCTGCATTGCTTCATATGAGGTGCCGCCATATTTCTTGGAATTCCTCTTGTAAATAAGTTCTTATGATGCAATAACATTCCACTCTATTTATACATCATGATTTGTTCAGCCATTCCCCAATCATTGGGCATATACTTTGTTTCTAGTTTTGCTTGTTTATTACTATTATCACCATTTATGCCATGGAAAATTCTGTAGAAATAGTTCTTTTTCTGCCTCATTTTCTTCATCTGTAAAATGGGAAAGGGTGGGACTAATAGTAGCAAATATTTATATAGCGCTTTAAGCAAAGCACTTTACATTCATTATCTCATTTTGTCCTCACAACAACCCTGTGTGGAGGGTGCCATTCTTCACCTCATTTTACAGATGAGGAAACTGAGGCTAAGCATACCTAGTGAGTATCTAACACAGGCTTTATCCTTACATATTCTTGAATCCAAGGTCGGCACTCCATGCGCCATGCACCCAGCTCTCTAGGTGATCTCTGCTTATGTTCCTAGGACCCTCCCAGAAAGGTTTGGGGTGACAGGTTCCTTCCCCTTTCTAGACTTCAGTTTTCTCCTCTGTAAAATGAGGGGGTTGGACTAGACTGGAATCTGTGGACTTTTTTTTTTTAGGCAATTGAGGTTAAGTGACTTGCCCAGGGTCACACAGCTAGTAAGCGTCAAATGTTTGGTCTGAGGTGGGATTAGATCTCAGGTCCTCTTGACTTCAGGGCCGGTGCTATATTCCGTGGACTTATTTTTAAAAAAATACTTGGGGGCAGCCAGGTGGTGCAGTGGAAAGAGCACCAGCCCTGGAGTCAGGAGGACCTGAGTTGAAATCCGACCTCAGACCAAACACTTGACACTTACTAGCTGTGTGACCCTGGCCAAGTCACTTAACCCCAATTGCCTCACCAAAAAAAAAAAAAAAGGCAAAAAAAATACTTGGATGACCATATTTCAACATAATCGATTTCCTTTGTACTCCTCAGTATTTTATTTTATGCATTTGAGAACATGATTCTGAGCAGGCTTCCCCAGACTGCCTAAGGGGGCCCTAACACCAAAAAGGTGAAGAATCACTGGACTAAATGACCTGCAAGGTTC